CCGACCCCTCCGCCCCTCGACCGGCCCCCGCTTGCCCCCCACGCACCAAGCCATCCCGCGTGCAATTAATATCACCGAGGGCGCAGGCACACGCGGCACGCGCTGCACGCAGAGGGGGGGCACGTAGGCCACCTGTGCCTGGGAGGAGGGCCGGGAGCAGTGGCCTACTCCCGACCCCACCCTAGTGGTTTTTTAGTGTGTGTTAGCTAGTGTAGTGTTAGTCTGTGTTAGTTAGTGTGTTAGTTAGTGTAGTGTTAGTGTGTTAGCTAGTTAGCGAGTGTTAGTTAGTTAGTTAGTTAGTGTGTATGTGTGTGTGTGTGTGTTATTGTGTGTGTGTGTGTGTTAGTGTGTGTGTGTTAGTTAGTGTTAGTTAGTGTGAGTTAGTTAGTGTGTCTTAGCTAGTTAGTGTGTGTGTGTGTGTGTTAGTTAGTATGTTTTATTTCGTTTAGATTTATGAATGTAGTGTTTTTAGTGATTTAAATAAATTTAACCAATAGTTTTATTGACTGTCTTTTTTCTCACACCTAATTCGATGTCTGGTTTGCATCAAAGAAATAAGAGAATTGTTTTATTATTTATCATTTTATTGATGATAGGGGTAACAAATGTAACTTATAAATACACTACTAACATCATTCATATAAACAGTGATCACTAAAACAGAACGACAGACACTAATGAGACACAAGTCGTCCTAGAACTTTATCTTTAATGAACAGAAAATGATACGCCCTGAGTTCCTCTCTAAGCCATGAAATGTCGAGACAATCACTTAAATTTGGGTCTTGAGCATACATAGTCATGATGGAGGTACTGGTGTTCTCCATCGCTTTTTCCAGATGTGAATTCATTTCGGCAAGATTGACAAAGTAGGGGTTTCCCAACTTTTTTTCTTCAATAAAAGCAGTCACTTCCTGGATGTATTGATCAAGGTATTGCCCAATGTAGGATGAACTTTGTGACATTTTGACGGTCATCATTTTGATCAAGTCTCTGAGGTGGCCGAATTTCATCCATGTCGACGCGGCACAGAAGAATGAGTCGTTATCCATCCCTTGTCGCTTCAGTCTGACAGACTTTCCCCCGTGTCTGGCGGTGTATTGCGAAATTTCTAATCCACCGACATTGAAAGGTGATATGGTCTCGCTGCCCACCGTCATGGATTGGATGCGTGTAAAAATGTCCTCTTTCATGAGCAAGTACAACTCATCTAGCGTGAGGCGCAATGTGTTTGAAAAGTTAAGGCGGTGATCAGCAAAGTAAACACATATTTTCTTGGTGTTTAGGTCCACCCCCAAAATGAGGGATTTTGAGTTATTGATGAGAGCAGGGTTGGTGAGTGCGAGGACGCGCCTGCTCACCATGTAAACGGGTGCAGACATATCGAGGGGTGGTTCGATATAATTTTCAATGTCGGGATCATTTAGGTCGGGAACGAAACTTATTCCCGAATCCTCCAATATTTGCGATAACTTGTCCGTGGCCTCTGTCTGCTCGGTGAAATACTGATCAAGTGTGTCACCCTGAATCTCAGCGAAGTGTGGCGCTTTTGGGGTGAAGGGGACGGCTCGCTTCGGAGCACGTTTCTTGGTTTCTTTGCCGCTCATAGTGAGGTGTGGATGTGTGAAACTCTAGGGTGAAAATGTGAGGTTTGAACTGTGGTCCGTCAATTTTATACCATGGAACTGTGATAGATGGAGGGAGAATCCCCCACCCGAGCGCGATATTCGGGATTTTTGGAGGGGATGTCACCTCCGTCGGGCCTTACCGCACCCGTCCCCGCGC